ATAACCTAAAACTTACACTACTCTGTACTCCTCTCCCATCCCAACTCCCCTGCTTCAGGACAGGGAAGGAACAACCATTCTAATCTTTGTGCACATCTTTCCTTATTTAGTGTGTTTTAATTTGTATTTTTGTATATATGTGTCCCCCCCCCCACCCCATTCAAAATTTCCCCACTTCCTCATTAGATGGTTGATCAGAGTGGAGACTTGCTTCCGTATCTGGCTTTCCATGGCCTTGTTTTCTAACCCAGACTGAGTCAAGACCATTCCCAGCTTTTTTTTTTGGCCCAGTTTTTTCTTTTCTAAGAAGTAGTTTTTTTTTTTTTGAGGAAATTCTGTTTCCCCTATTTACTTAAAACATGAGTCTAGAACTGTTAGAGCTCTAGGAGTGAGTGGGAGAGGGTCTCCTGGCTGTGTCTCCCGTCCCAGCTGCTCCCGGACATGCAGAGGAGGGAACCTTGGCATTTCATCTCCCCACCTGTCCGGTCCCACTACCACTGTCCTATTTAGGCTGTCATCAGTTTAGAGTGACTGCCTCTTAACTATAGAGGAAAATTCCACGTTCAAAGCTCCTGCCTTTTTATCTTGTCCATCGCCTCATCCCTCAGTTCAGCCACTCTGGGTCATTGATAATTCTGCTTTTCCTCCTGCTGCTCCTCTGGTCTCGAATGCCCGTTTCTCACTGCCCTTTTTCAAATCCTAATTATCCTTTAAGTCCCTTATTCTTCAGGATCCAGCTGGAATGCCACCTCCTCCATGAAGCCTTCCTTTTTGTCTGTCCCCTTGGAGTTGGTTACTCCTTTCTTGGAGTGTTGCTCTGTCTCTCCTATAACGTTGAAGTTCCTTGCGGGCAGGAGTGGGGTTTATTAGTCCTTTGATCCTTCTGTGTAGTGTCTACTCAGCCCCTGTCCAGCAAAGCATCAGTGTGCAGACAGCTTGTGGGTTGGACGGCCACGTGGTCAATGGGCTTCTTTCTCTCAGGCCTCTCAACCTATTGCCCCGACCCGGGCTTTCCACCGGTAAGCAGTGTAGGTCCTGTGTCGTGGGAAGAACATGGAATTTAAAATCAGAAGACCTGGGGTCAAGTTTGCCACATGAGTGCCCTTGAGTTAGCCTTACAAGACAATCTAGCTGTAGACTTGCTATGATCTCTAATCAGCCGTGGACTTGAAACGTAGTCACAAATCTAAGTATTCACAGCGTTACTTAGTCACACTGGGTCCGCAGGATCGGAGTTGGCCACTGGAGGGCAGTCTCAGCTGGTCTCCCAACTGGGCTTGACAGGGCCCACACCTTCCTGCCAGGGAGGAGGGCCTGGGGTGGGGGGTGATACGTGCTCCCACCAACCTGGAGAGCTATGAGCCCATACACCTGGCCCACCCAGCCTTCTTTTTCCTCCGGGCTGGTGAGATAGTGTTCAGTCTTACAGCCCTGGGACTCTTCGGCGTGATGGGATACTTGCCGTCCTGGGCCGATGGGGAACCATCTTTTTCTTAGACATCATTGATGAATGCGTGTATCATAGCAGGCCGTTGCCCCTGTAATACTCTTTTATTTTAAAATTTTAATTGAGATATAATTCACATAACAGGAAACTCATCATTTTAATGTATACATTTCTGTGATTTTTATTATATTCACTATATTGTGCAAACATTACTATTACCTACTTCCAGAACATTTCTATCACCCCCAAAAGAAACCTTGTACCTATTTGTAGTCAGTCCCAGTTCCCCTCTCTGCTCAATTTCTGGCAACCAATAGTCTACTGCATTTCTGTGTTTTTACCTATTCTGGATATTTTATATAAGTAGAATCATACAACATGTGGCCTTTTGTGACTGGGTTCTTTCACTGAGCATATTTTCAAGGGTCATCCACGTTGAAGCATATGTGAGTATTTCATTCCTTTTTATGGCTGAATAATATTCAATTGCATGGCTGTACTACGTTTGGTTTATCTCTTCATCTGTTTGTGGACATTGGGTTGTTTCCACTTTTTGGCTGCTGTGAATAATGTGTTACGAGCATTGGAGCACAAGTTTTGTTGAGTTTTCAATTCTCTTTTAGTTCCCTGGTGGGGAATGTTACAAGAAGTTAGCATTTTGAGGAACTGCCAGACCGTTTTCCAAAGTGCCTGTTCATTTTCCATTCCCGCCAGCAAGGCACAAGAACCCTGTAACACTCTTGACATTGCCGTCACCCCCTGCTTGTCTTAGAATTCCGAGAGGAAGGCCCAGGAGAGAGACTGAAGTTAAGGTTATTGCATGATGACAAGCTTTGCAAGCTTCGTCTGAAAAGCACACTTGGGCTTCTGGGTGATTTGTCTTCCTTGCTGAGGGCACAATGCAGTCTTGTCCTCCTGGCTGCAGAGCAGCCAGCTGTGGATAAACTCAGCGCTCTGTGTTGGCTTCATGCACCCCGGGGGAGCTGCACTCATCTGCACTCTTGGCCAAGGAGAGGTCTTCCTAGGTCGGTGCCGCCAGGTGTGTCTCTGCCCGGCCTCATCGGCCTCTGTAACAGACCCTGGGCTTCCTGGATGGAGCTGGCAGTCGCTCTTGCTGGTGTCTGGGGCGGGAGGCCAGGAGGCCAGGAGGCCAGGAGGCCAGGGAGACATCTATCTGGGTTGACAGGGCCAGGGGGCACCTGGCTGGGTAACAGGGAGACGCTGGCTGTTAGCTCAGGTGGGTTGTAAGCAGAGGCCACCCCTGACTCTGACTCCACTAGCTTTTCCTTTCGTGATGGAAAATGAGGGCTCTATTCGCAGCGGTTCAGGCCTGTCTGCCCAGATGAGTATGGTTGGTTTGTGCAGCATCTGGATATGACGAATGAGGTGATTTAGGCAGGTGGGGTGGGAAGGAGATTGCTAACCCCAGAGGAGCCCCTTACGGAGAAGGAAAATTACCAGCTGCGCTTACTCTGCGACTAGATGGAGGAAGGGCTTGTTCATTTTAGTCAGTCTAAAGGCAGTTTTTGGGGGAAGCTTGGGGAGAAACGGAGGGAGGGACACCATCCCACGAGACCCCTGCCTGAAGGTGTCAGGTCCATTATACCTGGTGTATATATATCCAGCCACTAGACATCTTAAGCCTGTGGGTGTTTATTCATTCAGCAAATATTTATTCAGTCCCTTCTGTGCTCCAGGAGCTTTCTAGACTCCAGCGGTACACAGATGAGAAAAACAAACACAGAGAATGTCCTTGTGGAGTTCGGAGCCTGGTGGGGTGGAGCAGCCTTAATTAAATGGTTGCTGGGCGGGGCGTCGCAAGTTGCTATGAGAGTGTTTAGGAAGGGGTGGCATTGTGTAGGGGCTTCAGGAAGCCTTCCCTGGGGCACTTGGGGTCTGAAGGCTGAGCAGGGGTTGGGAGTGGGGAGAGAGCATTTCTGGCAGAGGGCACAGCACGTGCAAAGCCCTGGAGTGGGACAGAGCAGGACATTCAGGACCCCAAAGAAGGCTGGAAAGTGGAGAGCAGAGAGAGGAGGGGTGTGGAAGAGGAGATGGAAAGGTCAGAAAGGGCCAGTCTCCTGAGGGTCTTGCAGGCCACCCTTCCAGCCTGTTCCCCTAAGAGTGATGGGCAGCCATTGGAGGAGGGGGAGGTTCAGCTTGGAAGTGGCGTGGTCCTGGGTGCTTCCCCAGACCCACTGAACCACTGACCCTAGACCCACTGAATCGGAACTTTTGGGGGGATGGGGGACAGGGGTAGGAGTCAGCATTTTAAGCACAGGCTTCAGAGATTATTACATGCACTGGATTAGTTTCTTTTGGCTGCAGTAACAAATTACCACAAACTGGGTGGTTTAAAACAACAGAAATGGAGGCCAGAAGTCTAAAGTCAGTTTCCCTGGGCTGAATCCAAGGGGTGGCAAGAACCTGTTCCCTCTGGAGGCTCTAAGGGAGAATTCATCCTTTGCCTCTTTCGGCTTCCAGGGCTGCTGGCGTTCCTTGACAGCATCACTCCTGTCTCTGCCTCTGTGGATACATTGCCTTCTCTGCTTTGGTCTGTTGTCAAATCTCCCTCTGCCTTCGTCTTACGAGGACACTTGTGATTACATTTAGGGTCACAGTCTTCCCATTTTAAGATCCTTAATGTAATCACCCCTGCAAAGATCCCTTTCCCAAATAAGGTGTACACTACTTAAAGGTTTCAGAGATTAGGACTTGATATCTTTGGGGGACCACTTTCTAGCCCACCCCACACACTGAGTTTCAAAATTACAGATGTGCCACATCCTTAGGGTAGACCAGGCCTACGAAACTGGAGCCCTGAGAAAAGTGACTCATGCACAGTCACAGAGCCTGTTTCCCCTCTGGAGGTTAGAACCCTTCTCTTTCTGGTCCTGGTTCCAAGGAGAAATGATGGCTGACATTTACTGTGTGCTTCTTCTGTACTGTTCTAAGCAAGTTCCATGTATGATCTCATCACTCTTCTAAATAACCCTGTAGAGTAGGTCCTACTATTATCTTCCATTTTACAGATGAGAAAATTAAGGGGAAGAGAGGTTAAATAACTTGCCCAAAATGACAGAGCTAATTACTAGTGCAGTTGGACTAGACACCCAGGTAAAGGCCAAAACCTTCATTCATAGGTCGATCTCCTTTGCTTGGGGTTACTCTGATCCACGCTGTGAATCACCCATCTCTGATACTTTTGTCCTTCTAGCAAATATGGGACCAAACTTTTCTGGAAGGGAAGGAGACCCCTCTAACCCCTTCACCCTTCTCATCTCCATGATGGGGCCAATGGGAGGGAGGTCAGCAGTTCTGGCAAAGAGGTGAGAATGGGTGCTGTGATCCTAATGAATTTCTAATGGCCTGAGAGGGGCCCTGGAAGGTTCCCAGCCTCCAAATTGTCTGCTGAAAGGCAGAAGGAGAGGGTGGGGCAGATTCATTTGCACCTTGAGTACATATTTGCTCCTGGCCGTGACTCTCCTCTCTGGAGCAGGGCCTCAGGTGAAATGTTTACCTGCCCCACCTCCCCTCCGTGAGGCCTTATAGCTCCCTTCCCAGTGGGGCAGGCTTCTGAGAGCACAGAGCAGCTCTGGCCTCTGTCTACCCTGCAGAGCCTTGACCATGGCAGCCCTGGCGACCCGAGTGTCCAAGCAGCGTGCGGCAGCTGAGGGCCTTGGCTCAAACCAGAAGGCCGTGAAGTACTTGGGCCAGGACTTCCAGACCCTGAGGCAGCGGTGCTTGGACTCAGGGGTCCTTTTTAAGGACCCAGAGTTCCCAGCGTGCCCATCAGCCCTGGGCTACCAGGATCTTGGACCCAGCTCCCCACAGGCTAGGGGCATTGTGTGGAAGCGGCCCACGGTAAGGAAGTGGTTTTGCTGTTGAGCGTCACACGGGATGGAGGGCCCTGGCTCTGGTTGGGAGCAGAAACATCTTTTCAGAGGTGATGAAGTATAGAGGGAAGTACACGCTCAGGCTTTGGAACCAGACAATTTAGATTTGAATCCTGCCTCTGTGCGTGTGGTCTTTGACAGATGACCTCTCTGAGCCTCAGTTTTCTCATCTGTAAAATGGTGCCACTGGCTTCTTATTTTTCAGTGTTGGTTCAAGGACTAGAGATAAAGCTCAGAGCATGGTTCCCAGCACATAACAGGCACAGAATACATGGTAGCTGTGGCTTAGGACCCCTGGGCCAGCACACCATGGAACAAACCAGTGCTAAGAGTCATCAGTCCGGGGGTACATTGTGACGTCAGTGCTGATAGGTGCAGGGTTGCTTAGGGTCGTGAGTTGTCATTGCTCTCTCAGGGCTGGGGAGTGGAGAGGTGGGGGCTGGTGCTGTGTGAACGCGGGTGGATGTGAGGGGCTCTGGGATGCCATCACTGATACCACCCAAAGCTCAAGGGCAGGGGATGGAGAACCGTCCTCCCCAAACCTGGGCCCATGACCTAGTGCTCTGTGACCCTTGTCAGTGATTTAACCTCAGGGATAGTCCCCCTATCCTCTGCACAGAGTGGCTGTGAGACTTGAGATAATCATATGACCGGCTCTGTTCAGTGCCTGCCATGAATAGTCTCATAAGAGCACTGTCCTTGGCCAGGGTGCCTTTTGTCTTCTAGGCCATGGTGGGAAAATCAAGTCATGGTCCTGATTTTCTTGGTAGTGGTTGAAAAGGGAGGGTAAAGAGAGAGTAACTTTTTGGACATGATCAAAATCATCATTTAACTCCAGCTATCTCTACCCGTCTTGTTGTCATCCTGTCGATTTTATACCACGGTTACCACCTCTGAGGATAGCTCCTTTGCCCGGGCTCCCTCCAGCCCACCGTGGTCATCTTCCATCCCTCTTTGGCACCTGTGGGGACACCCTGGGATGTTGGCAAAATCAAGGTTTTATGTTTTAAGGTCAAGGGTTGACAGCCACGTTTCATTTCAACAGATAGTTTTTTAGACCTGTGTTTTGTGCCAGGTGTTGACTGTGCTCTGTTTGGGAAGGTGAGGAGTGAACTGTGTTCTCAGCTCTGATGGAGGTTGTGGGGAGACAGACACATGAATAGAGAGGACTGACACCCTCGGCAAAATGAAGGAAATGCTAATAGAGGCATAAACTGTGGGCCTGGGAACCTGGGATGTTATGACTGAATAATGGAGAGAGTTAACGGGACAGATGAAGCATTCTAGTGGAAATGAAGGACCCCAGGGAGCTTGTGGGAGCGGGGAGATGGATCTGGGGGAAGGAGAGAAGATCTCACGCTGTGACCAGAGTCAGGTATCAGCTAAGTATTGCCTAGTTTTTCTCCTTCATTTGAGATTCTTAAAGCCCTCACCTCCTCAACCACATTGCATGTTCTCCCCTAAACTGTGTCTTCACCTGGTCCCACTCTCCATGTAAATATGGTATTTTTCGACTGGAGTTCTGATTTGTTCCCAGCAACAAAATGCTATAAAATCCAAAGGATGAGGGAGAGAGCCTGATGAATGTGGACTTGAAGTACTTCCATTATTGGGAGTTTTCAGATGAATAAGTAAAAGCTTGTCAAAATGTACCCTCTCCATCCTCAGTCATCAGTGAAGGATCCTCACACGGCCGCACTTGGCCAGGCTGTGCTCACACATCACGTGGTACATTATAGGACACAGTTTCAGCCTCTAAGATCTTACAGATTATTGAATAAACTCCTGAGTTGGTAATGACCCTGATGCTATCTCTATCGGGGACGTGCCTTGGAATCTGGGAAAATCAGCTTGTTCCTAAATGCTTCATTTCTTTCTTCCCTGAGGCCTCTTGGGCCTGCAAGAAGGTTGGGGTGTCCAGAAATGAGGTGCATCCATGAGTTCATTTGCTCTTTCCTCCCCTGCCCTTCCTTCCCCGCCCCATTCCTTACCTCTCTTCCTCCTCCATCCTTCCTTCCTTCCTTTCTTTCTTTTTTTCTTAAATTGTGATAAAATACACCTAACAGATCATTTACCATCTTAACCACTTTTAAGTGTATAGTTCAGTGGCAATAAGAGTGTTTACATTTTTGCGCAACTGTTGTCACCAACCATCTCCAGATCTTTTTCATCTTGCAAAACTGGAACTCTGTGCTCATTAAACACTAACTCCCCATTCCTCCTTCCATTCTACTTTCTGTCTCTATGAATGTGACAACTCTAGGTACCTCGGAGATGAGCGAAATCATGCAGTACTTGTCCTTCTCTGACTGGCTGATTTCACTGAGCATAATGTCCTCAAGATGCATCCATGTTGTAGCAGGTGACAGGATTTCCTTACTTTTTAAGATTGAATAATATTCCATTGTGTGCATCAGGTGGATCAAGATTCTGGTTCCATCTTTGCCATTTGCTAACTGTGTGACTATGGCTCAGTTACTAACATCTCCGGGACTCAATTTACACATCTATAAAATGGGAATAATAATATTACATACCTCATTGGATCATTGGGAGGCTTGAATGAGTGAATGGGTTCAGCACAGTGCCTGGCATGTAATAAATGGTCAACTTTATGTGCTGTCTCCAGCTATTTTTACAAGACAGAATGTCCAGAGAATGAAGTATAAAGATGAACAAAATTTACAAAAGTCCAGGAGAAGAAGCAGTTGATTTGACTGTGGGACTGGGGCAGGTTAATTACTGCAGACATCTGAGCGGGTGTTGGTGAAAGAAGAGGGTCATGATAGAGACCAAGAAGGAACGGGTGTGAGCAAAGGCTCCGACTGGGTGGTGGATGTGCATTCAGAGCAAGTGTGTTCAGAGGAGGGCAGTAGCCTGCTGTAATTAGAGGAGAGCGTGCGCTGTGGGAAACAGGGAGTGAGGCTGGAAACGGCAAATGGGGCCAGATCCGAGGGGACAGGGGTGCGGGCTAAGTAAGGTGACCATCGTCGATGGTGATACTGGTGAAGATGGTGGTATCGCTGGGTTTCCCGAAAATGCACGGGCAGGGCTCCTGAAATGCCAGACACAGACTATCAGACATGGACTAATGTCCTGGGGAGCAACCTTTCCAAGTCACCAAGTCACTGAGAACGTGTGGTTTAAATCACTTCCTACCCTGGATTCCTCACTGATACCTGTGTTTCCCTGGTGCCAGTTCATCAGAGGATGATATGAGGCCCAAGTAATTTGTGTCTGTGGAGTGTTTTGAGATCCTTACCTGAGTAATGGTAACCATTATTAGTAAAAAGATATGCTTGTTATTAAGAGGAAGAATAGTGTCTCAGGTATGGGGAGGTGCCTCTTCTAAAGCTCTTTGGCCGCCAAGTTACTTTGAATTTCTCTGATCTGATCTGAGTTCCAACAGAAAGTTAGCAGTGGAGAGAAGACTTTGGAAATGTCCTTCAGGCAGAATGCTGAGATGCGATCTTACAAGGCTGACGACTTTCTGTGGCCCCTGAGAGACTCATAGAATATATGAGTCATGGCATCTCTTGGTTGTTTTCTCTTGGTGTGTGTGTGTGTGTGTGTGTGTTGAATTATGTTAATGAATAACATGTAGACAAATGACATTCCATCTGCCTGTAACCTGCTTAGCACCGTTCTGGTTATAACACTTTAATTGCCTCCAGCATTTGCAAACCACTCTGTCTTCCAAACCAGAGTAAAAATTTTAGCAGAGCTTGGTAGACGTATTAGATATGAGTCTAGTGAGCTTCTAGCATACGAATAGTGTGATGTGGGTGAGTGACATGCAGCTCAGGAGAGTGATGTGGGGAGCATCAGCATATTCTGTAGTTAGTAGTTGAAGCCACGGGGCTGGATGATGTCACCAAGGGACAATGCTCAGGGCATGTTATTGCTCTATGAAATGGGATCGTGCAGAGGGCTGAGGACTCAGCCCAGAGGTTCCCTGATCCTTAGGGGTGAGCAGAGCAGAGGAACCCTTGAAGGAGACTGAGAAGGAGTAGAAGGAGAGGTGAGAAAGTCAAGAGTGAGTAAGGATACAGAAGCCAAGAGAGGAGAGTTTTGGAAGGAGGGACCCAGGCAACGGTATTGAATGTAAAGAACAGTCAGTGAGATTGGAATGGAACATGCTCCTTCCATGATTGCTGGTGCCTCAGGTGAGAAGAGTTTCCTGGAGCCACAGGAGATTGGAACCCAATTTCAGGAGACTGATGGATGAGGAACAGGAGGCTCTTTTAAGAGGATTCTCTAAGGAAAGAGATTCTGCCCAGCCTCTGTTTAGCATGCTCTCTGCAACTTCCTTCTCAAAGAAGCAACCTCTTCCTTCCTTTTTAAAAGCCAAATTACATTAAACATTTTTTTCCTCTTGACAGAAACACTGGGGATTGAACCCAGGAGCTTGTGGATGCCAAGCACGTGTTCTACCGCTGAGCTATACCCCTTTGTTAAACATTTTTGTCTCCACATTTTTATCTATTAAAATTTCAAATCTTTCCACCTTTTGTTCACCAAGAGATGATGTCTGGAGACTGGGAGCTCTGGAACACCTGGGATTAGAATTTGCAGCTGCCCACTTTTAGAACATCTAGTTTGGCTAATGCCACTTTTCTCATTAAAATGCAATTAGAGAATGTGAAAGATTGAAACGAACAAACAAACAAGCAAACAAGTAAAGTACCATGAGTTCATGCTACTTACAATGAAGTTGTAAAGCTCTACGTGTGCTCAGAAAAGACGTATGAGACGTGATAAAAAATGGATACATATGTAAATGTGCTTTTACATCAAAAGACAGTTTCTGGAAGGATACGTAAGAACTATTAACAGCAGGATTCTGAAGTGGAAGGGGTGTTTGGTTTTACAGCATTATTTACTGTTAGATTTTTTTTTACCCATGTGCATGTATTTCTTTCTCAATAGACAACAATTTAATGTATTTTTTTAATACTTGGAATTTTTAAAAAGCCAGCCCAAAGGCGTTGTCTCTGCCCATTTAGGCTGCTTTGTACAAGGCTGGAGGGCTGCCACTTGAAGCCTCCCCCCCGGGTACAGTGCTCTCCCAGAACCCCAGCACCCCAGCTCCGCGCCACACGCCCACCCTCTCGGGCTGCCTTCAGCCCATCCTTTTCCTTCCCCATCCTTTTTGATCCACCGTTTCTTCATCTCTGTGGAGTGAGATGGAAATCCTTCCTGTTCTTTGTGGTCTGACAGTCCTCGATGTAGCACACCCCAAGCTGACCTCCTTTTTATCCCTTGAGGTCCCACTCTTTCCCCCTAACAGCGTGCCTCGTGGGGAGGCAGCCCCTTCTCTCCTCTGGGAACCAATCCACAGCCTGCTCCTGGGTCCACCTTGCTAATGCACTTGTATCACCTCCCACCTAATACGTCTTTCAGACACGATCCCTCTGGAGCATTTCTCCCTTTTCTCCCTTTGTATAGGTAGTCTGCATTCCAGTACTGTGCACTGGGCTTTTTCTCTGACTTTTTTCATGAATGTCAATCTTGGTTTCCCACGTAGTCTGGAAGCACTTTGAAGCTAAGGACCATGTGCTTTCTTTCCCTGCATTTCACCTCGCTCCCATCTTTCCCTGGCCTGCTGTGATGCAGATAGTACCGTGTGTAAAATGGGCATTCAGTCCACTGACAGGTAAACAAGAAAGAAAGCATGCCTGCAGAATGCCTTTGTGTCCCAGTAGAGCCCGAGGGCCATGAGTTTGCCTGTGGTCAGGTGCCACTTCAAGGGAGGTGAGCGGGGAAAGTACAGGTCAGACATGGGGAAACTCTAAAGGTGAGTCCTCCTCTGGAGACAGGACTTCCTGACACCTTGAGGTTTCCATCAGCACACAGGATCACCGTCATTTAGTCAAATATTTAATGAGTGTCCACAGGGTGCGGAGCATTTTATTAGAGGGCTAAGCATTATTCTCACCCTCTCTCTGTACATAGGGGTGTTGTCTGAATGGGTGAGATCATAGTTCATTTTATCTCAGCCTCTGCCTTTCTCTACCTCCCTGCCCTGTCCCTCCCCACCCCCCCACCCCTGCCACCTTTTCACACCCACACTCCCATACGGGATGCATAGAAATAAAAAGACCTGTCACAGCAAGGCTGCGGGTTCCAGCTCCTGGCTGTGTGACTGTGGGCAGCTCTCCTGCCTCCTCTGGGCTTCAGAATCCCCAGCACTGAAACAAGGTGTGTGCAGTAGATGGAGTCCTAGGTCTCTTCCATGAGTTTTGTGACTGTAAATTTTCTTCACTTGCTGCCACCATTACTGGGCATCTTGTGACTTGTTGTTTTGTCCCCAATTGCTTTCAGGAATTGTGTCCCAGCCCTCAGTTTATCATTGGTGGAGCCAAGCGCACAGACATTTGTCAGGGTGCCCTAGGTGAGTAACTGGGGAGAGTCCTGTTTGTTTTGGGAGAGGGCAGGTGTGTATGTGTCATGAGTAATGTCAGATTAAGCTGTTAGACTTGACAGACCACATCATGTCCATGATTTAGCCACATGGGTTTGTTTGTTTGAGATGGTACCCTCCACTATGGGTCTGGAATGCTGGAACTACCTTCGGTTCCTCCTAACAAGACATTTCCCATATGCTCATTTGGCCTGTTTTAATGCTGGAGTCATGGGCCAGGATGATGGTAGATAACCATGCTGTGTTGTGTTTTGATAGTAGATACCTTTCAGTGGATGTGGTTTGCTCTACGGAATGGCCATGTCTATACAATTATGTGTTGTCATAATAGATGCTCTTATAATTAGTAAGAAAACAAGAATCCTAGCTTTCCAGCCAAGCCTTCTTTCATTGGCCCAGAATCCTGGGATTAAGAACCTTCACTTCCCAACCTTTCACACTTCCTCCAAATCAGGGGCAGTTAGGTTGAGGAAGTAATTTATTTGATTTATAAGTTCTGGCCTCAAATGTCAGAAGCTGAGGTTCCCCTTGATGGCACGTTAGTTCTGTTGATTTCATAAGCCCTCCTGACCCTAGGGGTTCTCAGCTTCTGCCCTGAGTCGTCAACACTGACCTTTTAGGGGACAACAGGGCCCTGAAGTGAATTTGCTGGGCTTCCAAACAGCCATCCAGTGACAGCTGCAGAATAGGGAACTGGCGACAAAGGCAAGAGGAAACAAATCCTACTTGTGGAAAATCAGCCGAACAAACAAAGCCTCAGCGTCCGTGCGCCCCGATCACCCTTTATCTTTCAGGAGGTTTCCTCCCCGTCTTTTTCCTCCTTGTTCCAGCCAGGAAAACCTGTTCTCGTCAGCCTGCTGGAAACCTTTATGATTCTGAAAATCACGGGCATTTATTGTAAATGCTTCCAACGTTCTCTCCTTTAACGACTATGGCCAATAGCCCCTTAGCCAGAGCTCACGGAGCGCGAGTAGAAAGCAGGGAGAAGGATTCGGGCCACCCCCCCCCCCGGCATGCACCCTGCTCCCCGAGAGCCACAGCCTCTGTGTCCTAAGCCTTTGTGTGAGGGCTCGCCGAGGGGCAGCACTCTGACCTTTTCTTGTTCTGGGGAAGTGTGCTGTGCCTTTTTACTTCAAGCTAAATGTTTAACCTAATTTAGCGTGTGTCTCAGGGAAACGCAACTTCAAATCGACACTTTTCACGGCTTCTTGGTGTCGATGTTTTGACTTTGGAAAAAATATTTAATAAGTGCCTTTTAATTGATCGACTTGGATAGCTCTTCCTTTGAATAGTTTTAAGCAAGGAGAAAAGAGCGTTTCCAAAAAGAGGCCTGAGCGTTACCATGGTGAGCGTGTGCTGCTGATGGAGCCGCGGTGGCTGGAAGAGGAGGAAATGAACCCGACTCCCAGAATCCACTCACATCAAAGTGGAGGCTGCCCTGGCTTAGTCCGGCGCTGCAGTGGCGGTTTTTAATGAACGGAGCAGAAAGAGGCTATTGAGTCCAACTTCCTGAAGGGCACTTTGTATGGGGTTGGAGGGCCTGCGGACCAGATGGAGCCCCAACAAGTAGAGAAGTGGGTACCTGGGTGCCTGGCTTGCAGCTTGGCCCCAGGGTGGATGCTAGGGGCCCCAGAGGGGCAACCACCTGGTGGCCTTAACAATGGGTGGATTGAGAGGAGAGATTCCTCAGCGAAGAACTAGGCGGTAATTGTTGAGTCAGTATGTGACAGGGATTAATGTTTGTTCATGCCTTGCTGGCTTTGCTGAGCCCCCCCACTGCACGGTGGAGTCTACTCCAGGTTCAAAACAGTATGGTCATTATTTTTTAACAGTTGATCTGTGTAATGAAAATGATGTCCTTTCCACAGTGTTGTGCTACTATTATTTTATTAGTTTTTTTTGGAGGGGAGGTAATTAGGTTTATTTATTTATTTTTAATGGAGGCACTAGGAATTGCACCCACGACCTCATGCACGCTAAGCACGTACTTCACCACTGAGCTATACCCTCCCCCCTGCTTTATTATTTTGAATACACACTGTTCAAAACTGAAAACACTGAAAGGTACACAGTGAAGAGTCAGTTCCCCATCTGTCTCCATCTACTCCACTGCTCACTGCCCTGGAACCTTTTTTCTTTCTTACCCTTTCAGTGTTTCTTTATACAAATTCAAGCAAATCTAAATTCGTATTCTCATCTGTATCCCTTTCTTGCATTGGAGGTAGCATACTGTAAACACTGTTGGGCACCTTCCCATTATTTGCTATTATTTCACTTACTAAAGGATCTTGGCGATCTTTCCATGTCAGTGTATGAAGAGCCTCATTCTTTTGTAACAATTCAGAATATTGTACTCCAGTGTGCGATGTACCACAGTTTTTTTAGCCTGTCTCCTCTCAATGGACACCTGAGTCATTTTCTCTCTTTTGCTGTTATACAAAATGTTGCAGTGAATGTCCTTCTGTGCCGGAGTGTGTAGCAGGTTTGAAGTGTGGCTGCCCCAGTCAAGGTGGACTATCTTTCCCTTCTATTTAATTCCTAGTGCTTAGTGCCCTCATGTTCAGTCCCTCTATCACTAGCATCCTATCTGCTCTGAGGAAAGGACGCCCAGGACAACCATTTACACTTTAGTGTGAATTTCAGGCAGTGGGTTACAAGTGGATTTGTATATTGAACATTATCTCAAGAGCATGAAAGAATTGTATTGTTACATCTTTAGTTACACTAACCCTCACTAACTTATTTCCTTTTGATATGAATGCAGGCAATGAAGCACAGTAATAGAAATCATGGAATATATGCATTTTACCTTAGTTGTTTTAAATATCTCAAAACATCACTCATATTCATCATTACCTCATAATTATGCTGTTTATTAGGCCCCACTCTATATCTTTTATATAGAACATCAACAAAGAAGCACAAATCTTACTATAATTTTAAAAACATTTTGATAACTGTTTCAATAAAATTATATTTCTATCTATATACAGATATATAATCACACTGTGTATCTATATATAAATAGATACAGATGTATAATACATTACAATATAGTTCTTGCTAAGCCAGCCTTCATCCTCAACGTGTGAGCCTCTTGGCTCCCACCAGAGTCTGTGCTCACTTACAACCCAGGAGCTGGCTTTCTTTGGAGACCTTATTATAGGAAGACAAAGACTGGGAGGTCTGCAATGCTAAAGATTCAATTGCTGCAAATGATTTTTCATGGGTGATATGACTTTTTGTTGGGTGACTCAGTCTCTGCCAGAGGGCACTGTGGTCTTGCCTCCACACAGGTAATCCATCGGGTGTCTTCTGATGAAACAGCCCCTAGACAGAAGCCCTTCCTGCCCTGGGCCTGGCCCTCTTCACCCTGGCACACTAAGGAGGGGTGACCCCACAGCCCCCACCTTTCCAGGCTCCATCTTCTTGGCAAAGCCTACACTCACCAGATCTTGCAAGGGCCACATGCACAGTGTCCTACCAGTGTGAGGAACCCTCTGGGCCACACCGTGTTGTAGGGAGCAAGTTTTAAGTGTGGGATTCCCTGCGGTGCCCGTTTCCAGTGAAGGCTCATGGCTGGCGCATCACCCAGGAAACTGCAGGCACCTCACTGGTCCCTCTGCTGCCTGTTCCAGCACTGCCTGTCTCTCTCCCTTGCATGTTGGCCTATGCATGTCCCTCTGAGGCTTCTGTGGCCACAGAAGTAGACTCTGTTGTACCATGAAATACACGTTTCTGGCTTCATTCACCTTATGCGGCTAGTCATACCTGTGCACCGGCCAGAACTCCTTTGGCTGCTGCTGTTAGAAGTCCAGCCCAAACAGCTTAAGGAAAAAGGGAGAATTTATTGGCTCATCTAACTAGACCATTGGAAGAGAAGTGTAGTGCCGGCCTCAGGAAGCCTGGATCTGGGCATCTAGATGTTCCTGGAGTCTGACTGCCTGTTTTGTCTCTGTTGGTCTGTACGGGTCAGATTCACCCTCTTCCATGGCGGGCAAGCTCCACACAGCAGGAGAGATGACCACTATGGTTCCAGACTTCAGCCTGGTAGTCTTGTGAGCAGCTTTGGTTCTACAGATCTCAGAAATGTCTCTGATCTGGTGGCTGTGGTCTTTGCCCACTCCTTGGGTTATTTCAGTCGGAGAGGTGAGGGACTATGTGGTTAGCTCGGCCTGGGTCATGGACTTGCTCTTGTGACTGTTAGCCTCTCCCCCAAACCAAGTGGGGTTCTCCAAAAGAAGGGGGCAGTGGCAGTGGGCCAACAGGATGAAGAAGGTGAACCTCAACCTGTCAGTGGGGTGGCGGGGTCCAGGCCTGGCCAGACTGTGCCCTCCCCACCCCAGGTCATCTCTGCTCTTTGGACTCAGTGACCTTGTCATCTTCCCCCTGCCCCAAACCCATCACCCTGCACTGCTCCTGGGAATGCCGCTCCCTGAGGGCTGCTCTTCTCTGTCTCTGGATCCACCCCTAGCAGTGCCTAATTCAGCACCCTGAGTGCACACAGTCCCCGAAGGAGATCTGGGGCTTCACGATCTGCCTGTGGCCTCACTGCCTCAGTTTCCCCAGCTGTGCAGTGGGGATATAATCAAACTGAGCCTGCCAGATGGTTGTGATGAGCAGAGAATTGGCACTTGGCTCTTTGTCCTCCAGGAAGTGGGCACTGTTGTGGGCAGAAGTGGATGCAATAACCCTGTGAACCGAGTTTCTTCCTCATCTCTATAATCCACGTACCTGGGGCATAGCAGGGCTCCACGGATGTTTGTGGAACTTCTGATCTGTTCCCTAAACCCTTTGCCTCATATCATTATTAAGTCATGAAAACAGGGGTAGCCTAAATCTGAGGCTACTTGTTTTTTCTTCCTTCCTTGTCAATATCACTCTTGGCAATCAGGCTGATGATTTAGAAGAAAAAGTCCCACCCTGAGGTTGACTATGGGTCTTCATTTTAAGGGGATTTCAAAGTTTCA